AATTTTGATTTAATTCTATTTGTTTATCCCTCCCTTAAGGAACATTTCTTATGTGAATTTCAATAATTTCAGTATCTTCTGATACTTATCCCCTCCTCTTTCTCTCTTCCATTCTTATTTTCTTTCTTATTCCCATTTATCATGGACAATGGCATTGCGGCAGAAAGCAATCCCAGAAGGAAGCCTCGTTCTGTGGCCCATAATCATCGCTGGAGCCAAAGTAGGAGGATGGGCAATGCAGTACCCCAGGACACAACACAGCCCCTCCCCGCTCCACACTCCCAGAGGCAATAGCTGGAATAAATCGTCCTATATATAGCGAGTACTCCACTATATATTGTATATACCTTATTCATGTGCATATATCATCGGAGCTTTATTACACACCCCCTCTCCCCCGAAAACCCCATCCTCCTGGCAGTCCTCTTCTTTTTCCTGCTCAAGCCCTCCTCCTTCTTTTCCGTACTGCACCTTCGTTTCCCCTTCACTTTTCTCTGTTGCAATAAAAATGTTGAATGCGAAGGACTACAAATTGCCACAAGGCACACACACAGAAGTGGCACCACCGCGTCCTGCAGCGGTGCCGAATGAAAGGCAGGTGTTGCCACCATTTTATTGTCGCCTCCGAGTGGGGGGAATTCTTTAATTTGAAGACAGCCCCCACATATGTTCTATGAGCAGAAGGGAAACATCCTGCTGAGTACATCCTCCCCAAAGGATACTCCGTATATCCGTACCTGTAAGAATGAGAATATGTTACCACCTGGTAAACAATCTTGTTGTTTAATTGACAGACAATTTTAATGATTAAAACGAGTGAAACATTTCGCATTCATTTCCTCCCATCTCTTCCCGCTCGCTACGCTCTCTCTTCCCATAGAACCAAAGCTCCTCTCAGGGCTTTAGACGGAAATTAATGGGGCTATAGAGGGGGTATGGGGGGTACTGTTTATGGACTGCCAAATGGCAGAGCAAAGTGCAAACGAATGGGCGGCAAAAGTGCGCCAGAGGAAGAGATTGGGGGAGAGAGAGTGAAACAAATTCCTCTCCAGCAGTGTTTTTTATTGCAAATGGAAATGGAACTCAGGAATCGGAGGCAGAGGCAAAGTGCTGGGGGAATGCAGCCCCTTCCTGGGATTAGCATTCCCAATTAGATGGGAAATTACACACAGAATTAGAGACAATTAAAAAGAGATACGCGAGATACGAGACACGAAATGTATCTCAAAAGTTTTAAGTACTGCTGCTAATGGAAGGGAGGGGAATCACACCCCTAAAAGTTGTGCCAGATAAATTAGAACTAATAAATATACGGAAATAAATGCAGAAATTATCAGAAACACTAATTAAAGGAATTCGGCATAAAAACACGAACATTAATCGGGTATGAAAAGGCTATCAATCGGGCATCAATCAGATTTTCAGTCGCTCCACTAAGGTACGAATATGAATCAAAGTTAAGCCTGTTGAAAATTATTCAAAGATCCTTAACGAAATGTTGAAAAATTACAGAAGGCTAACCATTCCAAAATTCCATTACTCTAAGAAAAACTAAGAAGACTCCCGCATTAAATCACATTTGGGGATGCCCCTTTTCTAGGCTCCCAGGCGGCTCCAAGGCATGCACTTGACAACGCAAAAGTGGAACAGCAAAAAACTTGCAACTCAATTGGCTCCCAAAAATTGTTGGACAACTTCTATGAAGTCGCAGGAGGAAACTTCCAGGGAAAGACAGGGGAACTTCCCGGGAACAGAAGGCAGGCAAAGGCTGTGGGAGGGGCAAGGGCTCACGTGGAAGGAAGGAAGGAAGGAGGGCTGACAAAAGTGCATAATTCTATAAAAGGCTCACAAATTGAAACACAAACAGAGACACCCTCTAGCCCGTTCCTCTAGAGGGTACCCCGTACCCGTTTCCCCCCCTGCAGGGTAACCCCTCCCTTTGCCCCTTCAAACAATGCCAGACTGTAACAGTTTCGGGGTAAAAGAAAAGTTTCCTCTCCGACGAGAGTTTCTTCTATTAAAAATATTGTCAACTCAATACGGAATACGGAGGCAAAAGTAAGTGCAAGTGGAAAAGAGGCAGAGTGGCATGCACCCTTCCCCCCACCCGTTGATTGTGGCAAACAAAGTTTCCATAAAGAATTTTGCGGAAAACACCACAAACAAAAAACTATGAGGCGAAAAACCCGACAAATTGGCAAAACCACACAGAAAAGAATCACAACACAGCCCAAAAGCCAGTGGCAGGAGGCGGGAGGCGGGAGGGAGTAGACAGGAGGCAGAAAGGCAGCTGCGGCTGGTGGCACAACAAATAAATTGACATCCTCTCTAGGATCGGGGCTGCATCGCCTCCTCTATGGCACCTCTGCAGCCTATAACTGCCTGCCTCCTCCCCTGTGGCAGAGCTGCCTGCGCTACTCCTTAGCATAGTTTTGGTTTCGGTTTGGAGACTCAGGCCACAAGCCCTGGCAACGATAAATACTGTGGTTTATCCTCCGAAGCCTCCCCAGAACCCCTCGAACCCGAAGACAGAGGAATCCGTAACCAGATCCCGGAAATAGGGCCACGACCCGGACCCAGGCCAAGGTGTTACGCCGAAACGGAACCCCCTCCCCGTCACCATATGGCGGCACTGCTGCTACTGCTGCTGCCTCTTGCCACAAATTAAAATGTGGCCACGCTTAAATTTCCCCACAAAATTTATTGTCTGTCGTCGGCAAGCCGTGGCCACCCCAAAAACCGAGGAACAAAAGCCAGAAAACCAGACATTTCAGCTACACAAAATAGGCAGAAAATAAGACAAATGCCGTAGGCAACAAAAACGGGGGGAACCCCAATGATGGAGTACCCCCACTTTTCCCAAGAAGTAGCTATGGGGTCCATAGAAATAAGGGATATTGGGAAAAACAGAATCCAATTCTGTTGTGAAAACTGTTTCTAAAATGCCCAAAATGCACTCTTTAAGTCCCATACCGACAGAAACCCACAGAAATCTCTAATGCGACTGCAACGAGTCCCAAACGAAGTTATGATGCCTTCCGAGAGCCAGGGAGAGATTGTGCTCCCCCACAGCAAACAAACAAATAGAAAAAAGCAAAATAAATGGCGTCCAAGGATAATGCGTTGCAAATGTCGACGACAATAAAAAGGATAATGCGACAAGTTGAAAACGAGCCAAAAGGAGCGAACCGACCGAATGACCGCCATTTCAGAGCCGGAAAAACTTTTCTGCCGGACAACAGAACAAATAAAGAGAGAAGGAGAGAAGGAAAACCAACAGAGAGGAGAAAAAAGTTGGAAGCATTTAATGAGTTTATTGAACCAATTGCACAAGTTGCAAGTTTCGTAAGAGTTGCACGAGTTGCACGAGCTGCATCATTTGCCAGTAGCAGGCGTTCTGTCCCCCCAGAAGAAGAAAAATAAACGTTGCATCCGTTGTAGCTCCCGAAGGTTGCCGAGGAAAATGTAAGTCACACGTTCGTGGAAATATACTCTAAAAGACCCTTTTCTTTTTGGTGATTTTGAAGCACTATCAAAGAAATAGGAGGAGAGATCTAAAGGTACTTATGGTAGTAAGCCCTGAACACCCCACGCAGAACTTTGGTATAAGCAAAAGAGCACAAAAAGTGGCATTTGAATGAGTTTCATTCTTTTTTCCTGTACGATTTTTGTTGCTTTTGGCCAAAGCTGCAATTCTTCCCGGCTATCATCCGTCTTGGCCATATCCTTCATGCACACCCCCCCCCCCCCCTCCGATCGCTCTGGCCAGGAGCCAGGAGCCAGGGTCAACATGGGGCTGTTGGCTGGCAAACGAAATTGCGGCAGACAGAAGTCATTTAAGGAGAATTTATGGGATTTTAACTGACATTTAAACAGTCGCCAAGGAACAGGAGAGGACTCGGGGCAGGATACACAGTGGGAGGTGGAATACACAAGGAATAAGGATGATGGGAGGGAATTTTAGAAGAAGAAGAAGGAGGAACTTGTCCAGCAAGATTAGCGACGACTGTGCAACAAAATGTTATGGACAGTCCCGGATAATGAACGACTTTCCACCCAAGGACGAAGGACGAAGACATCTAGCAGGACTGTGACTCGGACATAGACAGAGAGCGAAGCGAGAAAAATGAAATGTAATTACATTTGAAAATGACCAAAAGGAAAGGCACAGAGAAAATGCAAAAAGAAATAGAACCCCATTATGGGGTGGGGGCGTTGGCTGGAGCAAAAATCACTGCAACATTTCCTTGTAATTAACTCCATGAAGATGTTCCCACTCGGAAACAGATTGAGGGGGCGACATTATGAAGAGGTGCGCGAGAGAGAAACAGAGTGGGAGCTGTGTCGACAGCTCGGGATTGAAGCAGCGGAAATGTGAGCTAGAAAGTTGAAAGCGTACTTAAAGTAATTCCCAAACGAGATGGGATATGCTTTGCTGCTATAGAAATGCTGCAGAGTGTAGGAAGAAGTAGGAAGAAGAAGGAAGCTACTCTCCCGTTTGGAAAGTACTTGAGCAAAGCCGAAGCTCGTCAGGCGATCTTCAAACAGAGAGAGCAACAGCCGAAGAGTGCGCACGAAGCAAATGCAGCAGAGAGTCAAACACAACCGATGACGCGTGCCATACGCTCTCGCTCTTTCACACTACTGATAGGAGAGAGAGATCTCTCCTCTCTTTAGGTATTTCTGGCCTTGCATTCAGAGCAGTCTGTTAATCAGGACTGACCCTGTTCTCCCTCTCTTGCGCTTGTCTCGAAACGACCTTCGCTGCTTGACGACCTTCTCTTTGTCACTCATTTCCGCTTTTTTATGCAACAGCAGAAACAACAATTAGCCATCAGAAATTACAGTCACCCGCTTTGGAGATTATGGATGCATCATTGGGGAGTATTCCCCTTCAACCTCAATGTGCAATCGGATAACAGTCAAGAGAACAACGACACACATTTGAGGAGACAGATTTAATGGACTCTCCTCACTGTTCGTTCTTAATAGTTTCTTACCTTTTACTCCTCTCATCAGTCGAACTTGTTCTGAAAGAAAAAGCAGAAAAGTAATCATTAGTTAAGTGAATTTCTCAAGAAACAAGTTTCCCTTCAAAGCAAAGTTAAAGTTCTGAGGCACAAAAAGTAGTTTAAGGCTTTTGAAAACTTTAAACTTTCCCAAGAAAAACATTTAAAAAAGAAGAGTTTTTTCCATTCAACTGATGGGATGGAAATGTAACAAATGAAGATGCTTTTCTGCATAATGACTGAAGGATTAACTTAGATTTGGTAACAAACTCAATTGAGAGCGCCTGCTCTTCAGGAAACTCCCATTCATAAACCGTAAACGCTCTTCAAAGTCGAAAACTTAATGAAAACACACGAAGGAGCTTCCCAAGGGGCCAAAATCTCCGAAAGGAAAACTTCGCTTCGCTGCAGCAGCAGCAAGCAGCAGCAGCTGCAGCTGTGGCAACAATCAAAGTATTTAAGCTCCACTCAGGGGAGTATAGGTGGGGGAGCCCTTAAAAACACACACACCCACACACATACGCGTATGCATTTGTGTATGTGTATGTAAATATGTGTGTACAGTGAGTACTTACGAATATGAGCAACAACATCCGCTAAAAGCTCTCTTTAGAATAAATAACTGCTGCACTTTAACAAGGCTGACCTCAATTCCACCCCAACCTCTCCCACCACCCCAAAAAGAGTGTGAGAGGGGAGTGTCGTTAAAAGGGGTTGTGTGTGGGGTTGCGAAAAATGCAGGCCATAATTTCTTGAATTTTTACCATATTTTTGTAATTTTTCAAAAGTTTACAAGAGTTTTTTCCCTTCATCTCATTCCTCCCTCTCGCTGGCACACATTGATTGCTTGCATTTATTTTTTTGCAAACTGCACTTGTAAGTTTCTCTCATCTCGTCCTTCTTCTACTGCTCTTTCCTGGGCCCATTCCCTCCCCCTTCACCCACTCTGGGAGCAGTAACAAACATCGTAGCAACAGTAATCGAAAAGTTAATTCTCCGAAAAACAAGGTAATTAGTGTTTCCAGTGGCCATAAAACCCAAGCGAATGTGCAAAAATAACGAGAAAAGTTTAAAAAGCACCCAGCGAAAAGGGAAAGAGAGAGAGAGAGAGAGAGAAAAAAACTACAACAAAGTAGGAAAAGTATGGGTGTGCGTGTGCGTGTGTGTGTGGCATTGTGGTGTTGCCTTGCAACTTGAAGCAAAAGCACTTGCAACTACTACTAGGCAGAGGAGGCAGAAACACGGCGTAATGAATGGCCAACTCCGTGGAAGCCCCGAAGGCGCCAAATGTAGGGGAGGTAGCAGAGGCAGGACTAGACGTACAGCCACAGGTAGAGGACTAACAGGACCAGCAGGGTGTGCATCACAGTTACAGAAGAAGGAAATGCAGCGGTACCAACAGTGGTTTTTGTTCAGGGTTGCCAGGGTTACCCACCAAACGGGAAATGTTATTGTTTTTTTTTTTTAACTTTTTAACTTTAACCAAAAATTGAGGAAATGCTAGCAAGTAGTGCTTCTTGCTAACAGAAGCCATATATAACTTCAAAAGGATTTATTTTCCATTATTTTCCACACCAAAAAAACTCATCGAAACTCTTCTTCTTAATTCCCGCCTTCACATCGTTTCCATTTCAATCACAATTTAACTCTTGTTATTTCACGCTGATTGTCAACTCTGGCGCCAGATGTTGGTGGGGCAACTCACATGCACGAGGCCCTCAATTAATTAATAAACAAAACTTTTGCCTTTCAAGCACTTCAAGTGCCGCCACACGCATCGCCCAGAACTTTTCCTCGACAGTCGTTTGTTATGCCGAAAACTTGTAGAGGCTTCATTTCCCTTCCCTTCCACCACTCTCTCTTTTTGCTGGGGAAACCCCTTTTCCCTTTCCTGCACTGCCCCTACCCGGCCTTGCCCTGCCCTGCCCCACTGTCTTGCTCTAGTTCTGTGGCGCCTAATGACAAACATGAAGTTTTTGCCACCACATCAATCAAAAGTTTTTCATCAACGTCATCAGAGTTATCAACATGGCCGCAGGCGGTGCAGAGAAATAAAAAAAAACACACACACACACGAGATAGAGCCAGAGAGACACATACTGTTGCTGTTGCTGCCAACACCCCGAGTGTGAGCCATGTTGACAAACAAGAACAACAGCCACACATCCAGAGACACATGATGAGAGGATGAACAAGCAACAACAACAACAGATCTTAAGGAAGATTATCGCAGAAAAGGTGAATCCGAAGCGATGGATACACTTGCACATACCATAGAATTGCCATGGAAGATGCTCCTATGAATAGTCGTTCCATGATGTCTCTAGAGGGGAAGACGATTTCTGTATTATATGTGTAGCAAGATGCTTCTGAAATTCTCATCAAATAAATCATAAATCTAATCAAAATCATAATATCATCCCCCATCTTCATCGGTGAGGGTATAATTATCAACACGGACCATCGGCGAACACGCGCGCGGCGCGTATACGTAATGTGCTGCTCGTGGTCGTGCCGCTAAATGTCTGCATAATTTATGAATGCCACAGCAGCAGCAGCAGAAACAACATCCATCCAACAGAGAGCGAGAGCGACAGAGAGAGAGAGAGGAATGATGGCACTGCTGATGTGTTCGCACCTTAAATAAGAGAAATGGCTGCCATTAAATGTCCAGAAACAACAACAACAACAACAACAACACGAGCAACATCTAGGGGCAGAGAAGATGCTGGAGATGCAGAAGCTGAACGGGGAGAAATATCATCAGTCGACGGACCTGCTAAATAACTCAAATGAAATGCCTCAAATGCCGCACAAATCTTTTCAACTTGAGGTGAGGATGCTAGTGCCTGCTGCCTGCTTCTTCGGCTATTGCCTATTGCATGAGTGCACTGAGAGAAATTGCACTTAAGATCTCTTATCTAATAGCTATAAAATTGGGTAGATAGTCAGCTTATCCACAAGGTTTTAGAGTTGGGGGAAAAATACAACTCCGAAATGTGATATCTTAGTTACCCTACTTTTCTCTCAGTGTAATATTGATAAGCCAAGGCGCACTTCATCTTCATCATCGGTCCACGGGCAAAAAATAAAATTGTGAGATGAAGATATAGAAGAAGAAGCAGAAGCAGAGCCATGGAGCAGAGAGCCCTCACATAATCAGCTTCATCATCAATGGAGAGGAAGAAAGAGAGGGCGTGGGAGTGAGGGACTGGAGGAATGGAAGACAGAGTAGAGCGTAGGTGGCAACATGGCCACACCTTTTGCCCATACACCACGTAACCATGACAGGAATCAAGGGGGGGGCGGAGTGACAGAGGAATATCAGATGAGGTGGGTCGCTGCCTGTCACCATCCAACATCTTCATCTTCATCTTGCTGGTTGTTCCCTCTTATTTACGACAAGGACGACATCTTCATCTTTCAAATGCGTTTAATTATGTCAAAGTGGAAGAGAAGCCGTCCTTTTTATTTCGCTGCTGCTGCTGCTGCGGCTGCTCTTCTTTTTTGCTGGTCTGGAGGGCACACACACACACACACACACGTGTAGCGGACAGGTGAAGAGAGTGCTTGCAGTGGCAGGCGGAGGAGATGGCAGAATAGAGATGTAGATTCCCTTCAAGTTTAGCTGTCCACACAAACACAAACCCACACCCACACACCTCCGCGCCCCCCCCCTCCCTCTGCTATCACTTTTTACATTTGTTTCATTTGTGCGACGTTTCCACATTAAGCTTGTGACAGTCGTCGTGTCGTTGCTTCTGTGCATAATCGTGATGCCGTTAGCTTTAGCTTTAGCTTTGGCTCTTGCTCTTGCTCTTGCTCTTGGTCTGTCCCTTCACTTCACTTCATTTCCTTGACTTTCCTCTCTTCCCGCTCTCTCTATCTCTGGAGTGCCCTCTCTCTGTCCTGTCCGCCTGCTGCTGCTGCTGCTGCTGCTGATGGAAATAAGCTACCAATTACTAAAGTGTTTCACTCTAAAGCCATTTCAGTTGTTCCCCCGATTCTCTATCTCTCTCTCTCTCTCTCTCTATGCTGCTGTTGCTGTTCTGCTGCTCTCCAGCTGCCCACTGCTGCTGCTGCTGCTGCCAGGGGAAAAGGTACATTTCCCAGAAGGTAAGGCATACTCAACACTATGCTCTTGCACATGCCGATTGCATTCTGTTCGGAGATCGGCTCGAAACGAGGAGTGCATTCGTGCCTGACCCTCTACTTAATATACCTTTCTGATGCTGCTGCTGATGCTGCTCATTCTGCTTCATCTGCCTCTGCTCCTCTACCTCCTGCTGTACTTGGACTTGACTGTTGAGCATTTTGCATTAGTCCAAGAGCTGAGAATGAGCTTCAGGCAAAAGGGCAAAGGACACACACAGAATCAGGGAAGACATGACAGTTGAGTCCATGTCCATATTATATGCTGCACTTATGTACACATTTATGACTCGGACAGTACTCTGCCTCAGGGTTAGCAAAATTTACTCATATTTTCATTTGACTTGCTGCAAAATCTGAAAAAGAAAAACAATGATGGTCCAAGAAATTCACTTTATATTTCCATGCAAAGGTAAAATCAATTCGATTCCCCATCTGGAATTTTAAAGGGAGCCAATTCGTATGCCGATTCCAACCAATTCCTAATACATTTCAATGAAAAAGTCACAAAGTCTAAACATTTCAGAATCTCTTCTCAACTGTAAAAATGTGTGCCTCTCTCTCTCCCCTTCTCTCTCTTTCGTTCTCTCTGACTTTCTCAATTACCATTCAAGCGCAACACACACGCCAATGCCAGTCAAGCCATGTGCCCATGTCCATCATCATTTTTGCATTGCAGATTTAATTTCGTCAAAGTGGAAAAGTCAACAGAAAAGGTCTTCCGTCGCGACGACAGGCAGGGTGACAGGGAGCACGACCAGGGAGACCACGCACCAATGAGTGCTGACTGCCGCCGCCACACCGCCACATACCAAAACACTTCCACAATCACTGGTTCTGCCCCTGCCCAGGGGCCATCCTCCTTCATC